TTTTCATATATTTATAGATCTACTTGATTTTAACTTTTTGTGGAGTTTAAAATTTCTAATTAGATATGAAAATAGATTTTAAGACAATACTAAAAATTCTTTACAACAAAATTACATATTATGATAAAATTTTAAGGTGCGCCTTAATTGGATTGTTTAAGGTTGCAACCTTATAAAAACCACGCCCTTGAAAAAATGCCGATCAGGTAAACGGCCAATTTGGATAAAAAATTCGTCTGGGGAGAACCTCTTCTTGTAAATATCAAGAACCGGCCAGTTTGCTTTGTGACACGGCCAATTCTGGTTAGTTCTCTAACAACACTGGTTGGTCAGAACCGGCCCGATTTTTTAAAATGTTTAGATTTTTTTTATTATCTTAATGACACGGCCAATTCTTGGCAGTTCCCTACTTGGTTTTCATTGTCTTCTTACTTTAGGGCACCACTAATATTATACTTTTACAGTTGGACATGTCTCTTAAATACTCCCCAGCCTAAGGCAGCAAGCCGGCAACCACATTAACTTCTCTTACTGTAGATTTGCAAGAAAGTACTAAAATGCCCATGCAGTTTCATAAAATATTCTACTTCATAATTTATAGCTTGCACTTTTTCAACTAATCGACTCGCACTTTAAATGAATGAAACAACCCTCTTGGTTTCCATTTTTAACTGTCAAGGAAATACTTTATGTTGGGTGTCAACCTTATACTGTACTAGGAAGGTCCACCTAAAAAGCCCACTAGAGGAGGTTGTTCTTATGCTGGAAAATTTTCAAATCGATTATCTTGACTTCGAGATTCATAAACATGAAAAAAATGGGTTTTCTAATATTAAAGGTAGAGTTAATCTTTTAACAAATTATCTAGACCGTCTATTTACAAGATTTTCAAGTGGTTATAGATCTGCTTGATCATCACCATTTTCGGAACTTTAAATTTTATAATTGGGGGCAACAATAGATTTTCATATTGCTTGATCATCACCATTTTCGGAACTTTAAATTTTATAATTGGGAGCAACAATAGATTTTCATATCATCACAAGGGTTTGCAGCACCGAAACTGCATTTTCGACATGGTTTTGAGCTTCAATAGTATAAGGTTGATACCTTACCCAAACCTCACCCAACTGTAAATAGCTTCTCTCTCTCTCACTGTCTCTCTCTCATATCACAAATATTGGGATCATATCCATCATCGTTTCTCTCTTTCTCATTTCACAAATATTGGGATCATATTCATCATCATTGGATGGCACTTAATTTAAATCTCAAACACATGGAGGGAAGAACATCAAACATTTTATGACTTGCACAAATTGCTTATTACACATGCTCCTTTTGGTGCACACATATTGAGAGCAGCCCTCTCTCATAACAAACTGAGTGCTTAAAATTCAATACACCTTGACTTCCAAATCTTATAAATTCACACCAACAAAGAGAAAACATACTACTTCAACACCCACATAGACAAAGAGAGAGAGAGAGATCAGAGCTCAGTTCTCCATTTGAAGGAGGCAGAGAGAGAGAGAGATCTCAGTAGTTGTCCATTTGAAGGATAGTGCTCAAGTTCATGGGGTGCATGTACTCTGTGGTACCAGTCATGAACTGACGCACAATGATCCTGCTTGCGCTCTCACTTGGGTGGAATGGGTCCCAAAACGCATACTTGCTTCGATCAGCGCAAAGGTTAGAGAGGGCAGTGCAGAGTCCCAATCCGTTGTAAGGTCCTTGCCCACAACAAGCCACCTTCGATGTCACAAACCCTAAGCAACAAAACAACACAAACACCACCAACAATAAGCTCAACATGATTTATTTGTGTGTAGAATTCATTAGATTTATTAAAGCTCGGAGAGAGAGAGAGAGAGAGAAAGTTTGGGGTCACAATTATTGATAGGATTCTATACTATGGGACCGTTTATCTTTCGTATAAAGAGGTCACAATTACTTTTAACCATTAGATGTCAAATTGGATAATTTGGGGTGTCTCACTAAGTTTGAGAAAGTTTTTTTTGATTTTTGAGTCTCGTCAATTGCACTCTTTCAACCACCCAATTTGAAATTTAACAGAGAAAGGTGATTGCGACTTCCTTGTACTAAATTTAAATGGTTCCTTTGTATACTTTTTCTAGATATTTTTTTTTTCGGTAATTTTGTGGAGATGACGAGTCCCTACTTGTTTTTTTAAATAGTTAGTAATTTTTTAGTGCGTTATGTGAAAATAGAAGCCTAGATCTTAGCTAGGGCACAAATGATACTGCCACCACGACCCCAACCCTATTCTAAGAACCATCAGTAGAAAATGGGTTAGCATCAGTAGAAATGGAAACCAAGACTGGTAGATATGTTGGTTTACCAAATGCTCCAGGATTAGAGATGAAGTCCATGTGCATGTTGAAAGCATTAGCGGAAATAAAGACATTGCTGCCAAACTGGTTATTAAGCTGTCCAAGCATCTGAACGAGTTGGGGGTTAAAGAGGGCAGATGCCCTCTGCAACTCAGGATCGCATTGCCCGTTCCGGCTCCTCATTGCCAGCTCTGCTGGGACACACCCCATCGGTCCAGTGCCAGTCACCAACACCCTTCTTGCTCCAAGCTCGTAGAGCCTCTGCACAATTTGTCAACAAATAATATCAGAAAATAATGTATACATATACTTGTATATAAATGTATGTATGCATGTATATGTAATTGTATGAAAATACAACACAACAATGTGCATCATTTGCATTTTTGTACGTGTATATGTGTGTGTATGTATATGTAATTGTGTGAATGCATGTAGAATTGTTTGCATGTATATTTCTATATTTGAAAGTTGGTATATGGTACTCACCAAAAAAAAAAAATAAAGTTGGTATACCTTTATGCACATGTGCATCATTTAATGGTTTATATATATACAGAGATTTGTGTGGGTATATTTGTATGTATGTTATTATGTGTAATTATGACATCATGAGATGGTTGAGCGAGAATCAATTAAAACTTTTACCTACCCAAAAAAAGGTGGATATGCAAGTGGTCCCCAAACGGCAGGTTAGCAAGAAAACACGTTTTCGAATTGGTGAAAATGCATATGAATGGACGTATGTATGTGATGTTAAAGCCTTGTCTCAACTATTTAAGGTCAGCTAATGTTGAGATGCTACATCACATTCACAAATGCGGCTACATGAAACTTCCTTAGTAGGGGACTTAATGCAAAAAGATAAAAAAACACTGCTTATAAGGGAGAAGGCAATTAATGATAAAATGTGAAAGCCAAATGAAAATGAACAGAGAGGCATTGAAAATAGAGAATGTCACTTAGAATGTTGGTTTACGGTTCCCTTTGAGAAGTTCAAATTAAAAAGCATGGGACATATCCTTTATGTCATTTAGAGTGTTCTTTATTGACTATACGCTTGAAGTTTCTTTTTTTGGATTATAATGATAAGGCATGTGTGCTTGTAGTTAAATTAATGAATAAAGATATGAGGGAGACTTATTTAAATTACACAATATTTAGGAAAAAATAATATAGTAATGCTATTTATGTTTGACACAAGGTGATAATGGGCTTTAGTTGTTAGATGTGAAAATTTCTAGAGCCTAAAAAGCTCATGCGAAGGTGAAGTTTACCGCGAGAATTTTACTGTACTCAGGGATGAGGTACCGAACATAGTCAGGGAGTGAGAACTGGCGCGATCTCGCCGAGTAGGGCACGAGGTAGTAATTGTTGACAAAATCGTTGCCCCCCAAGGTAATTAGCACCAGGGCCTGGTTCACCAATCTTTGGGTTTGGGCAGCTCCAATGAGGGTTGTGACCCTCTGTTGGTATTGTTGGAAATATTCCAATTGCTTGCTGATTCTTATAATGTTCAACTGCAAATGAGAGAAATCACAAAGCATTAATGAAACAAACTAAAGAGAGAATTATGAAATATTTTGGCTCTAAGATTAATCTCTAGACTTTGTTCTCTGGACTTATCTCTCTCTCTCTCTCTCTTTAAAGTGCTAGACATGTGATGTTGTTGATGAGCTTACAAACTGAATGCCAGTATCATTAAGGATGCCGATCCCAGCCGATGCGAAGTTGGCACCGACAAGAAGCTTCTGACCGGTAAGCTCAGGGGCGAGGTAAGGCAATGTGGGTTCAGTACCCATGTTTTCACCTGATTCAACAACAAACAATTTATTATCATCAAGAAAATACTAGAGAGAGAGACATGGAGAGAAGCTGATGCTTACTGATAATGTCAGGGATGTTGAGGCCATTGGAGAAGCGTCCGGTGGGACGGTGGGTAGGGTAGTCGATGCCGTAAGGGGGGTTGTCGGCTCGAGCCGTGGTCGCAAGATAATCATTGTTGCCATTGTCCACTAAAGAGTCACCGAACACAAAGAAGGCTCGCGCCTCAGATGTGGCCACTTGGGTGCTAAGCACCAGTCCTAGAAGGCAAACCATTAGGGCTAGAGCTCTAGCCATGGTGGTGGATGTGTAAGAATCAATGAGAGAGAAGAGAAAGACAGATGGGTTTTGGGGTGTATGAGAGAATGGGTTTTGGGGTGTATGAGAGAATGGGTTCCTACACCACTTTGAGCATGGCTAGAGAGGAGTGGAAGACCATATATATAACCCTGTTATGGACCAGGCTTGCTTGCCTTTTTTTCCTTATCATACATTGAATTGTTGGATTTTTTATGGCTCTACTATTACCTCAATAAACTACGCTGCCCTTCTTAATAGCCACAACCAAGAAAATGGGCAATTAATTGCTTGTGCCCTTTAAGGGTTCTTTTGATAAGAAACATCTTATGTCACACTAACAAAAAAGGGGTTGGTGTATTACACTTTTGGTCAACTAGCTAGCTGTAGGCCTAGTGCACCTTTCTTTTCTTAATTACTTTTCTCCACCATATGGGGCACATTTTAGAATGAATTGCTAATAATTTTGCAGTCACTCTTGATTTTTATTGTTTTTCCTTTTATTTTGACAGTTTTCTTAGTTGGGAATATTTTACTTGCATGATAAAAAAGCTCTCTATATTTGACCTAGGTTTTAGTTTCTGGGGTTTGTTAACAATGTGAAATTGCTAAAATGCACATGCCCCTATGCTTAGTATTCTTGTCCCTTGCAAATTTCCATGCATAAAAAAACGCCTATGCACTATTGTACTTTTTAGGCAGTCGACCTAATTTTGTACATATCACACTATTAATTTCAACACTATTTTTCTTTGCAACTACTTCACCTAAAGTAAAAAAACGAATTTTTTGAACCAAAATAACCCCCATTTTAACCTATAATTCCAAAATGTAATACCCAACATGTGTCAATCTGGCACAAAAATGTGTTGGACCCCACTTGTGCTAGATTGACACAACTTGAATACAGAGCCGGTCCAACACAAAAATGTGCTAGATCGGTTCTATATCAAGTTGTGCAACTTCAGCACATTTTGTGCCAACTCGACTTAGAGGGAGAGTGGAAAATGTGGCTAAAAAAAAAAAGTACTTCGGTTAAAAAAATATATATATATTTTTTTACTTTAAGAGTGGTTGCAAATATAACAAGTTTTAGAATAAAGAATGTGATTTACAAAATATTGAATGGTAACATGACTAGAAAGTAGGGTCAAAGGGAGTCCTAAGATTAACCAACTGCAAAGTAGGGTCAAAGGGAGTCCTAAGATTAACCAAATGCTCATCCAAATTGTGGTACAAGCATGAATTTCATAGGAAGTTTAAATAAAATCAACCAGCCCATTCAAATAAGAAAAGCCAAGCATTGGCCTAGAACCATCACGCTTTGCATGTCTTGTACATACACATTTGGTTGCTCATTGATAAAGAACTGAAACTTCACATTGAATTAGCCATATAAGGTTGGGAGAAGAGGTCAACCATGCCTTTGGTCTAATGGTGAAACTGAGAGACCCTGTCGTTTTCAATCAGGCTTAAAAAATCTTACGTGTACGTAAGAGATTCAAAAGTAGTACAAATGTAACAGTCTATGAACGCTTGAAAATAGATGGTCCGGATAATATATTACCAGAGGGGTTTAATATATTTTTTTTTTTCAAGTTCATAATTGTCAAGGTCGAGATGATCAATTTGAGAGTTTTCCAACACCAAATCCACAATTTCCAATGAGATCTCGGCCGCAACTTTACTTTCTATCGTGAAGCCTAGGCCAGGTGCAAACCTTTTCCTTTAGTTATTTCAATTCTTTTATTAAGGAAAGATGGGACTGGAAGTTATCCAATGGCCATTCAGATATTCCATTGAAATTCATTGGCAAATGTAGCACTTTTATTTTAGCTTTAGACACATACACAGAGTGAGTCTGAAACCTAGCCACCCATGGGTCTTTCCCTCTCACCATGTCCATCATGGGAGGGCCAAATTTATTGACGTGTCAGTGGAGAGGCCTAGATAAAGTTTTCCCCCATGTGAATTGCATAAATTGGTGGGGTAGAAGTTTAAAGGAGGGTAGCTGAATCCACCTCCCCAATTTGAGGCACCAGCTTTACATTAGGTTAGATGTGTGCAAACTCCTTAATATCAACCACCCCCTCAACAAACTTCCCCTAAGATCACCTACAAAGAAAAAAATCCATTTTGAAGCTAATTGAATTTTGCCGTAAAATAGCATCTGCTGGTCCAACCTCCCAGTGTGCACTCTAACCCATTTTCCGGCCATTAAATTTTGAAGTGTACCAAAAAAAATGAAACGCCCTCCTACCCATCATCAATTTCAACCTAATTTGCGTGACGTGACTAGCTTCTTTCACCCTACCTTAATGCTACCAAACCATATTGGGCTCAGTGCACCTTCTTACTGTACTTCTCTACATTCTTGGATGTCAAATCTCCAGAGACAAAAATTTGAAAGTACATAAGAACAGCACCATCTCTCCCTTATGCCTAGCTCAAGGGTAAAAGAGTTCATTATGATCATGGATTTGTCTTATCACATCCCTGCGTTTCATGGTTAAAGATATTTTTATATGAGATTGTCTACAAAGAGATCGTTTATTTTTGTACAAAAAGCTCATAATCATTTTTGTCCTTTAAATTTCAAAATTGGTAGTTATAAGAGTGTTATTGAATAGACACAAAGTTCTAAAAAAATTTCTTGGACTTCGTGACTCACTCCAAGCCATTCAATTTGACATCTAATGAGTGAGAATAGTTGTGACATCCTTGTGATAAAAATAAATAGTCTCTTTATAGATAATCCCTTTTTATATTTCCCTTGGTAGCATTTTATGGTGTGATCAGTCATTGAGATGAATAATTTTAATGGAAAATCATGAAATGTGATTTTTAACAAGGCTGCTGACTACAAAATTATCATTTCACAGCTAGAGAATATGATTCTCACCTATACATAGCAATATATCAATTTCTTTGTCTGATTGAAAGGGCACACCAACAAACGTTGATCATTCGAGTTGGTGTTTAAAAGAATGAATTTTTGTTCGATGTTATTTTATCTCGCTATGTTCTCGTAAAAAAAACAGCTGGTGTAATGCTTGTTCAGGCCATACAAATACAAGAATAACTTCTGAAAGATACATGTGATATTTCGACACTCACGATGATTTCGATTATGTTTTTTATGACATTGACAATTTTCTAAAAGAAACTTATTTCAAATAAATGATTCTAACTTAAGATAAGAAGCACCTAAAACTGAGGGCTCTTCACTGCATGAGAGTGACTGAATAATGGTCACATAATCTGCATGATGTATTTTTTCAATTAACAAAGTCAGTGTCTATCACAAAACTTGGGATATTGACTACTCAACAACTAAAAGCTTATGGAATAAGGTGCCCTGAATATAACATCTGAGAGATGGGTTTCAAGAGTACTATCTATTGCATGCGTAAATATCTAATTTAGAAGACATAATATCTTGTCTCCAAAAGGGAGAAGTGACACTCCTAAGAGCAATCTAAGTTTTTGAGGGGTCCATAGTGACACGAATCATAGTCACCGGGAGCGCCCCATTAGGGGTCGTTCTGGCTCTGGAATCCAGATCCCACGTTCTGAAGCCAGGATCTCGACTGGAACGTATTTTTTTTCGGCGGAATCTCGCTCCCTTTTTTTAGGGATCTCGATCCAATGAGCATAAGAATCTTGATCCCCACATATCACTGTGCTCCTTTGTTGGATTTATGGATCTTTCCCTAAATTATTATGTCCTGGGAGTTGGAACCCCAATTCTTTTTACTATGTTAAAAAATGCACCGAAAGTTGAATAAACTCTGGGTGTTTTGGTGCTTTTTTTGTTTGCTTTTTAAAAATTTTCTCAGTCGAATATTGAATCAAATGTTTGTTTCATGCATCTCTCTCATAAGAGTAAAGACTATGCAGCCTATAAATTACTATGCAACAAAAAAAATGATTGATGATCTTCTCTCTCTATGGCTCATGTGACTACCATGTGTGAGATCATGCAACAAACCATTTCAGGCATAAAATTCAATAAAGAATTGATTCCATACAAAATCAATGAAATTTGGGTTGACCATGCAAGGTAACCCTAATGAGAATGGCTATGGTAACTCCTTCAACCTAGGACTTAGGACGGAGATGGTCAATATATTAGATAATTGGTATGGTATAAAGTGAGCCCATTTACTCTTGCTCACAATTACTTACAACCATCCGATATGATATTTGATAGCTCGGATGTGTCACAAAGTTCGAGAAAATTATTTTGAAATTTGAGCTTGGCTAATGCAATAGTTGCCGCTACCCAATTTCACATCCAATGGTCAAGATTAATGTGACCACCTTCTGGCAAAGGTAAATGGTCTCATTCTATGCTTTTCCTTTTATTGAGAGAAAGTCTTTGGGTGGTTTCCCCTTTTAGTGAGAGAAAGTCTTGGTTACTCTCAAAGGTTCTCTTCTTGGATAGCTCTTTTGTTGTGGACAAGAGATGGGTCTCTTTCGGACAGTGGTTTAGCTGTGGAATAGAGAAAAGTGATCAGTTGGTCGTGGCAATCGGGAGAGTGGGTTTGAAATGATTTATTCGACTGGATTTTGTCGAAGATTAGAGAGATAACTCTATGTCCCAAAATCTATAATGTAACTTTCATTAGTATAGTAGAATCAGTTTGTCGTGCCTGTGGATGTAGCTCCCTTTGAGTGAACCACGTAAATATTTGGCGTGTGTTTCATGCTTTATTTCTCGTATTATGGCTCGTGCTCTCTCTTATTTTGCTTCTAGCTGGATATCTACACGATCTTGGTGGGATCCAACTTTTAGGATTCTTGTTTTCGTATCAAAGCGAGTCCTTAAATCCTAACACAATCTATATGGGAGAATGATCCCACTACATATGGGAATGTGATCCATTCCACATAGGAGCGCGATCCTGTTCTATATAGGAGCGCGGTCCTCTTTTGTCCGGATGTGGTTCTGTTCTTTATACCCTCATCGGAACCCACTCCCCGAGAACTTGAGCTTCAGTCAACCATCGATTCCATGCTTCCGTTCCCGACCCAGAGTTGTTCCCGCTCCGGCTCCAAGTAACTATGAGACAAATATATGTTTATATCACATCTAACAATTCTGAGTTATATCGAGTTCTAAATTGTTTGTTCC